AAAGCTTACTTGAAAAATGAAAACATTTTATTCGTGAATTACTGACAGTCTTGCAAACTACTTTTACGGAGAAATCAGTTGAGAATGACCTTCGTAACTATTCACTAAGCACCGTCACATGAACTGAAAGTTACCAAAACCATTAACTTTTTCTGCATCACTTGGTAAACTGTATATGTCTCAAATTTTCGGTAAAATCTTTTGTGTCAAACTAGCCTGCAAACCCTTTAAGCTGTGGGTCGACACAAAAGATCGTTTAAAAGTTCAATAAATGTCTTTTATTTACAATGTTGTACATGCAGACAATGTCGAAATAGATGTACACAAAATGTGGCAAAAACGCTTGTCAACGGGTGAATAACACTTTCTACAAAGTCAGTTGATCTGGCGACTTCAGCCTCCGGGCGTGAATGCCTCTGCCAGTGAAAGAGCATGAGCCGATGCAAAAGTAACCTGGCCTTCGCTGAAGCCATCCACATGCTCAGCTGGTGCAGCCCATTTCTTGGGCGAATCCCTCTGCGTACTCTTCGCCGGACTCCTCATCTCGATCGTCGTCATCCTCATCGACAACCAACTCGTCCGTCCCGTCAAACTCGTACTCTTCGAGCCCGTCGGCAATGTTGTGCGGCCGGCAGGTCTCGGACAGCGCTCTCGAACCGGTCACTTCTTCTCTGCTCCGGCCGGTCGGAGTCGCAGGCTCCGTCGGATTTGCCACGCCGACGAAGCCGGAAGCCGAAGTCTTCGGAGCCGGAGCTAGGGCCAGTACCGGGGCCGGTGTCGATGCGGGGCCTTGGCAACGACTGCGGCCGGCAAGCATGTCTGTGAGGCAGGCATGTCTGGCGTCGGAGTTGGGCGCCAGGCGACGCCGCTTCTCGGAGAGCCGAGTCAACTGGCGCCGGAGACGGTCTATGCTGGCCACCTCGTCGGGATGCTGTTGCTCAACGTGGCCCAACATGCTGGCCAAATGGGCACATGCAAAGCCGCAACGCTCACAGACACGTACCACCTCGCGACGCTGGTTGGGCGCAAATTGCAGCACCACCTTGTGGATCTTGCGTCGGTGACCCTCGAGGGAGCAACGTTGGCTGAAGCAGCGACCACACTCCGGACAGCCGTACGGCTTGACAACTGAAATGAAGCCGAGAGAGAATGCATTAACGAGATTGGCGCAAGCATGTTCGTTATTGTTGCAGTTGGTGTTGATGGGGATGGCGACGATTGTGAGCATGGCGGTGGTGGTGGTAGTGTTAGCAGTGGTAATGCTGGTGATGATGATAATAATAATAATGATGATGATGGCGGTGGTGAGAATGATAATGATGCTGATAGTGGTAGTGGTGCTGATGATGTTGAGGATGGTGGTGGCAGTCGTGGCGGTTGTGATATTGGTACTAATTGTGGTGATAATGATGCTTGTGGTCATGGCGATGGTGAAATGAGGAGACAAGTAATTAGTATCGCTGTATGAAAGTCAACGGCCTGTAGAAATGCTAAACTCTAGTCTCAAAGTAGTCGGCTTGTTAGGCAACTTCATTTCGTGTTTCGATTTCCAAAGAAGAGATTCAAGGTTAGAACTCATCACACGACGACAGAGGATTCCTCTTGTTCTACTATACCCATTTCCGGTTGTCATTAGACATCCTATTTTTCCTTTTATAAGTAGGTTTTTGAGGCTACCAATACCTCCTGAATAAAGAATGTATTCAATATATTTCATTTAAGTTGATGAAAGATTGGAAATTGGATTCCCCAGACGTTTCGGCTTCATAATTCCATACAATTTCATATAGCCTTGTTTTCCAAAGGGCTTAGGTGGAGGGCACTTTCGACGTTGCCTGAACTGAGCTCATCAACATCCGAAGCTAGACTCGAGGCCTGGTTAATGCTCCAGAAATACATTCTGTACTATCCAAATTCGAGTCCCGCTAGGAGTGCTGATGAAGCCAACTTAGGCGAAGTCGAAGCTGAAAGCAAATTGGGCCGGGAGGAGATTACCTTATGGGAAGCAAAGCTATATGAAGTGTGTTGACCTCGTTGTCGCAACTTGGTCTTGTTGTCAAGGCAACTCAGTAGAACGCACCTAGTCCGAAGTCGTCTGCCATTGTAGTTGTCATGATTCCCAGCATCAGACTATGGCAGACGACTTCGGACTAGTTGCGTTCTAAATAGGGTGAATAGAGCTCTTTAATTTAGCATCCTGACTCGGTTCCGGTGAAAGAGGAGTCTGCCGTATTTTGCTATGCCACTTGACTAACCAGCTCTCACTAAGTGATCTCTCTCTCTCTCTTTCTTTCTGTCTCTGTCTGTCTGTCTGTCTGCTGTCTGTCTGTCTGTCTATCTGTCTATCT